CACCCTCGGTGGTGCAGTGGGCCAAAGCGCTGAGCTGCTGAGCTTGTTGACTGAAAGGTCGCAGGTTCAATTCCGGGGAGCGGCGTGAGCTTCTGCTGTCAGCCCTAGCTTCTGCCAACCTAGCAGTTCGAAAACATGCAAATGTGAGTAGATGAATAGGTACTGCTCTGGCGGGAAGGTAACGGCGCTCCATGCAGTCATGCCGGCCACATGACCTTGGAGGTGTCTATGGACAACCGGCTCTTCGGCTTAGAAATGGAGATGAGCACCACACCCCAGAGTCAGACATGACTGGACTTAATGTCAGGGGACAACCTTTTATCTGACAGATAAATCAAGATAGATAGATAGATAGAGAGAGAGAGAGATGGGTATATTGATTGATTGATTGATTGATTTTAGTTTTGCCTGGGTGTGTTTGCATTTGTTCTGCCATCAAGGAAACTAGGAGCTGAGTTGTGTGCCCATTTTAGAGATGGGCATGTACGCCAGGCATGGCACATTCTTGGACACCAGATGCGCGTGCACACACACTTGCACGCATATATTCACTTTTTATTTCAACGTGGACTCTGGGCTGGTTTGTGTTTGTTGTTCTCTCGAGGTGAGCCCCCTTTTCCTTGCGGTTGATATGGGCTGGACACATCTCTGGGAGACACAGTTCAGGGTCGCCGGGGCTTAGGCTTATCGGCCAGGCATGCGCTGCTGACTTGGCAGGAATGCTCCTCCTTCGGGGCAAAAGGCCTGTTTTTCCTCCCTTCTTCTGCCACTTTCACACTCCAGAGTCCACTCTGCGCCGTTCTGCCAACCCTGCAAACGGACTCTGGAGTGGGAGAGTTTCAATTGCTTTGCGCCACAATTATCGCAGTTTCCATGCCACTTGGACCACCACAGCTGCGCCTCCAATGCCCTGGGACTCGGACTTTGGACGCTAAACAAAATGGGGAAAATGTTCTGTTCCTGGTTTGAAAGTATTATTTCCTGTTTAACTGTACAGTCCGCACTTTGAAAACAGTTGCTCTACTCCAGAAACATTGTTTTTGTTGCCGCCACAATGTTGAATAGGTTGGGACTCTTAAGATATTCCTAGCAAAACTAGAACAAAAGATATTCCTAGCAAAACTAGAGCAAAACTTAAGGCATTCCGAGCAAAACTAAAGCAAAAGATATTCCTAGAAAAACTAGAGCAAAACTTAAGATATTCTTAGCAAAACTAGAGCAAAACTTAAGGCATTCTGAGCAAAACTAAAGCAAAAGATATTCCTAGAAAAAGTCGAACAAAACTTAAGAAATTCCTTGCAAAACTAGAGCAAAACTTAAGAGATTCCTTGCAAAACTAGAGCGAAACTTAGGACATTCCTAGCAAAACTAAAGCAAAACTTAAGACATTCCTAGCAAAACTTAAGCAAAAGATATTCCTAGAAAAACTAGAACAAAACTAGAAATTCCTTGCAAAACTAGAGCGAAACTTAAGATATTCCTTGCAAAACTAGAGCAAAAGATATTCCTAGAAAAACTAGAACAAAACTTAAGAAATTCCTTGCAAAACTAGAGCAAAACTTAAGAGATTCCTTGCAAAACTAGAGCGAAACTTAGGACATTCCTAGCAAAACTAAAGCAAAACTTAAGACATTCCTAGCAAAACTTAAGCAAAAGATATTCCTAGAAAAACTAGAACAAAACTTAAGAAATTCCTTGCAAAACTAGAGCAAAAAATATTCCTAGAAAAACTAGAACAAAACTTAAGAAATTCCTTGCAAAACTAGAGCAAAACTTAAGAAATTCCTTGCAAAACTAGAGCAAAAAATATTCCTAGAAAAACTAGAACAAAACTTAAGAAATTCCTTGCAAAACTAGAGCAAAACTTAAGAGATTCCTTGCAAAACTAGAGCAAAAGATATTCCTAGAAAAACTAGAACAAAACTTAAGAAATTCCTTGCAAAACTAGAGCAAAACTTAAGAGATTCCTTGCAAAACTAGAGCAAAACTTAGGATATTCCTTGCAAAACTAGAGCAAAACTTAGGATATTCCTTGCAAAACTAGAGCAAAACTTAGGATATTCCTTGCAAAACTAGAGCAAAACTTAGGATATTCCTTGCAAAACTAGAGCAAAACTTAGGATATTCCTTGCAAAACTAGAGCAAAACTTAGGATATTCCTTGCAAAACTAGAGCAAAACTTAAGATATTCCTAGCAAAACTAGAGCAAAAGATATTCCTAAGCAAAACTAGAACAAAACTTAAGATATTCCTAGCAAAATTAGAGTAAAACTTAAGATATTCTTAGCAAAACTAAAACAAAACTTAAGATATTCCTAGCAAAACCTCCCGCAAAAACAAAGTTTGTGCAGTTTCATAAACTTTCCCCATGTTTTTAATGATAGAACTAATTAGGAAATGACGTTGATAACCCAGGGACACAAATCGTGTTATGTTGTTGTTGTTATTGTTGTTGTTGAGGTTCAAAGGGGCTCATCACACTGAAAACAATACGAACCTGTAACATGTAAACATTAAAATAGACACGCTTTGTTTAGTTTGGTCTGGAGATGTACCGTATGGTTATAAAGCCTAAGGGTGTTCTTAGCAAACTACAACTCCCAGGACTCAATTGCCATGAAAGTGGTGCCAAGTTGCATTCATTCTATAGTAGAGATGCAACATATGGCTATGAAGACTGAGTCTTCTTGGCAAACTATAACTCCCAGGACTCAATTGCAATGAAAGTGGTGCCAAGACGCATTCATTCTATAGTAGAGATGCAACATATGTGTATAAAGGCTAAGGGTCTTCCTGGTAAACTACAAGTCCTGGGACTCGATTGCAATGAAACTGGTGCCAAGCTGCATTCATTCTATAGTAGAGATGCAACATATGTCTATAAAGGCTAAGGGTCTTCCTGGTAAACTACAACTCCCAGGACTCCTTTGCAACGAAAGTGGAGCCAAGCTGCATTCATTCTATAGTAGAGATGCAACATATATCTACAAAGTCTAAGGGTCTTCTTGGCAAACTAAAACTCCCAGGACTCCATTGCAATGAAAGTGGTACCAAGTTGCATTCATTTTATAGTAGAGATGCACCATATAGCTACAAAGTCCACGGGTGTTCTTGGTAAACTACTACTCCCAGGACTAAATTGCAACGAAAGTGGTGCCAAGCTGCATTCATTCTATAGTGTGGATGCAACTTTAGAGATGTCATAATCAAATGCGTTGCAACAACAACAACACCAAAGTATTTGTATACCGCTTTTCTCACCCTGAGGGGGACTCAAAGCGGTCTTGGCAAACTACAAGTCCTAGGACTCCATTGCAATAAAAGTAGTGCCAAGCTGCATTCAATTCTATAGTAGAGATCTACTGTTTGGTTATGAAGGCTAAGGGTCTTCTTGGCAAACTTCAACTCCCACGAGTGTATTGCAGAGAATCGTACTATATGGCTATGAAGGCTAAGGGTCTTCTTGGCAAACTACATCTCCCAGGAGTCTATTGCAGAGAATTGTACCATATGGCTATGAAGGCTAAGCGTCTTCTTAGCAAACTACAACTCCCAGGAGTCTATTGCAGAGAATCGTACCATATGGCTATGAAGGCTAAGGGTCTTCTTGGAGAACTACAACTCCCAGGAGTGTATTGCAGAGACTTGTACCATATGGCTACGAAGGCTAAGGGTCTTCTTGGCAAACTACAACTCCCAGGACTCCATTGCCATGAAACTGGTGCCAAGTTGCGTTCATTCTGTAGTAGAGATGCAATGTATGGCTATGAAGGCTAAGGGTCTTCTTGGCAAACTACAACTCCCAGGAATCTATTGCATAGAATCGTACTATATGGCTATGATATTATTATTATTATTATTATTATTATTATTATTATTATTATTATTTGACCAGTCATATGACTATAAAATGTCTATAAAGGATCGGGTCTTCTTGGCAAACTACAACTCCCAGGACTCCATTGCCCTGAAAGTGGTGCCAAGCCGCATTCATGCTATAGTGCGGATGCAACTTTAGAGATGTCATAATCAAATGCAGGCATTGCAACAACAGCACCAACAATACCAAAGTATTTGTATACCGCTTTTCTCTGCCCGAGGGGGACTCAAAGCGGTCTTGGCAAACTACAAGTCCTGGGACTCCATTGCAATGAAAGTGGTGCCAAGCTGCATTCATTATATAGTGCGGATGCAACTTTAGAGATGTCATAATCAAATGCAGGCGTTGCAACAACAACAACAACAACAAAGTATTTGTATACCACTATTCTCACCCTAAGGGGACTCAAAGCGGTCTTGGCAAACTACAAGTCCTAGGACTCCGTTGCAACGAAAGTGGTGCCAAGCTGCATTCATTCTATAGTAGAGATCTACTGTTTGGTTATGAAGGCTAAGGGTCTTCTTGGCAAACTACAACTCCCAGGAGTCTATTGCAGATAATTGTACCATATGGCTATGAAGCCTAAGGGTCTTCTTGGCAAACTACAACTCCCAGGACTCCATTGCCATGAAACTGGTGCCAAGTTGCATTCATTCTATAGTAGAGATGCACCATATAGCTACAAAGTCTAAGGGTGTTCTTGGCAAACTACATCTCCCAGGACACCATTGCCATGAAAGTGGTGCCAAGCTGCATTCATTCTATAGTGCGGATGCAACTTTAGAGATGTCGTAATCAAATGCAGGCGTTGCAACAACAACAACAAAGAAGTCTTCATCCATAAGACTCCTGGACCACATCCTTTTGGAACAGGGATGCTGAACCTCTCCTTATTCCCATTTCCACCCCTGCGAGGCAGGCCACTTGCATCCAAAGTCCCTCCTTCGGATTGCCAGCTGCATCTTGGATTTTGAACCCAGGACGAAGCAGTCCACGTGGACCATTTGGACCCTCCTGCAGAGTCCGCTTTGCAATGGTCCGGGTTCGAGTCCAGCACGGTTGCCTATCTCCAGCCCGGGAATGCGATAAGCGGCCTTCGAGATGCGATAAGCGCAAACAGAGTATAAATACAAGCGGAGGGGAGCAAACAAGCCTACTCGAGAGAAGCCAGCAGCCTGCAGAGCCAGGTAAGCAGAAAGGTAGGGAATATTTTGGGGATATTTTGGGGTCTAGTCCAAACTGGACCTCGTTTGTCATGCAACTTCTTCTTCCATTGGATGCCACTCATTCCAGATGTTGTTTGGAGCTCCAGGGTTTGCTTTGGCCAAGCGTCCAGGTTCCTTTGGTTGCCAAAGGCCTCGGGTTAATGAGTGACCGGTGCAGAAGGGGGTCACCTTGTCCTGACCCCGCTCGCCCCATAAATGGAAGCCACCGAGCCATCGAGTGACCATTCCCCTTCTTTCTGCCTTTCAGCCCCTCGGGTCCAGTGGCCATCATGAGGTTCGGCGCCGTTTTCCTCGCTTTGGCCGTCCTGACAGGTGAGTGATGGACAGATGGATAAATGGACCCCCTTTGGGCCAAATCGTTGGCATTGATGGCATCTTTTCACGAGAGCCCATAAATCTTATATCTACTATGATTATGATTTTATTATTGCAAAGGATATTATTATTATTATTATTACAATTATTATTATTATTATTATTATTACAATTATTATTATTATTATTATTATTATTATTATTATTATTATTATTATCAGATAGGGCCCCAGGAGAAAGAGCAACAAGGCATCGGCTTGCAAGGGAAAGTATTATTATTATTATTATTATTATTATTATTATTATTATTATTATCAACATCAGATAGGACCACAAGAGAAAGAGAAACCAGGAATCACTTTGCAAGGGAAGATATTATTATTATTATTATTATTATTATTATTATTATTATTATTTATTTGACCAGTCAAATGACCATTTCAAAATATAACACAAGTAAAAGATAAGGCAAAAAGGATTATTATTATTATTACCATTGATTGCATCATCACCCCACTTTTGCCTCTCTAGTTTCCATCCATTATGATGGTATTATTATTATTATTATTATTTATTTATTTATTTATTTATTTATTTATTTATTTGACCAGTCATGTGACCATTTCAAAATACAAGTAAAATATAAGGCAGAAAGGATTATTATTATTATTATTATTATTATTATTATTACTATCATCATCATTGCATCATCACCCCACTTTTTCCTCCTTAGTTTCCATCCATTATGATGGTGTTGTTGTTGTTGTTGTTGTTGTTGTTGTTGTTGTTATTATTAACCCTAGTGGCGCAGTGGGTTAAACCGCTGCGCTGCTGAACTTGTTGACCAAAAGGTTGCAGGTTCGAATCCGGGGAGCAGGGTGAGCTGTCAGCCCCAGCTTCTACCAAATTAGCAGTTTGAAAACATGCAAATGTGAGTAGATCAATAGGTACTGCTCCAGCAGGAAGGTATAGACCAGTGGTTCTCAACCTCTCTAATGCCGCGACCCCTTAGTACAGTTCCTCATGTTGTGGTGACCCCCAACCATAATATTATTTTTGTTGCTACTTCACAACTATAATTTTGCTCCTGTTATGAATCATAATATAAATATCTGATATGCAGGATGTATTTTCATTCACTGGACCAAATTTGGCACAAATACGTGATATGCCCCAATTTTAATATTGCTGGGGTTGGCAGGGGATTGATGTTGTCATTTGGGAGTTGTAGTTGCTGGAATTTATAGTTTACCTACAATCAAAGAGCATTATGAACTCCAACAATGGAATTGAACCAATCTTGCCACACAGAACTCCCATGACCAACAGAAAATACTGGAAGGGTTTGGTGGGCATTGACCTTGAGTTTGGAGTTGTAGTTCACCTACATCCAGAGAGCACTATGGACTCACACAATGATGGATCTGGACCAAACTTGCATGAATACTCAACATGCCCAATGTGAATGAACACTGGTGGAGTTTGGGGGAAATAGACCTTGGCATTTGAGAGTTTTAATTGCTGGGATTTATAGTTCACCTCCTACAATAAAAGATCATTCTGATCCCCACCAATGATAGAATTGGGCCAAACTTCCCACATGGAACCCCTATGACCAACAGAAAATACTATGGTTTTGGATGGTCTTTGGTGACCCCTCTGAAACCCCCTCGTGACCCCCCCCAGGGGTCCCGACCCCCAGGTTGAGAACCACTGGAACGGCACTCCATGCAGTCATGCTGGCCACGTGACCTTGGAGGTGTCTATGGACAATGCCAGCTCTTTGGCTTAGAAATGGAGATGAGCACCAGAGTCCCAAAGCTGGACATGACTGGACTTAATATCAGGGGAAAATCTTTACCTTTACACTATTATTATTATTATTATTATTATTTGGTACACAACAAAATTAGTACACTGCAAACAAGATCACTCTGCTGGCTTTTGTACTGAATCACACATCAGACCCTTCCCAAGTGACTTTAAATCCTCATCTGGTGTCAGCTTTTCCAGTTGTTTTTCTTCAATCTTGCTATTATTATTATTATTATTATTATTATTATTATTATTATTATTAGATACACAACAAGATGACTCTGCTGTCTGTTGTATTGGATCACAAGTCGGACACTTCCCAAGTGTCTAGGATTGTGTGATGTATTGGCGAATAATGTGTGCAGATCCCAGTAAGGTGGCCTTCTGCAACTGGCAGGTGGTAATCTTTCAGTGCCGATTGTGTTTAAGTGCAGGCCAAGGTCTTGAGGCACTGCACCCAGTGTGCTGATCACCACTGGGACCACCTTTACTGGCTTATGCCAGAGTCTTTGCAGTTCAATCTTTACATCCTCGTATCGTGTCAGCTTTTCCTGTTGTTTCTCTTCAATCCTGCTGTTGCTGCTGTTGTCGTTGTTGTTGTTGTTGTTGATGTTGTTATCATTATTATTATTATTGGTTACCCTGTCACCCAAGTTTTTCCTCCCCAGTTTCCATCCATTCTGATATTGATATTATTATTATTATTATTATTAGCCATCCCCTGCCACGCATTGCTGTGGCCCAGTCTGTGTACATGTGTTTTGTGTGTGTATATGTGTGTTTGCATATATATATGTGGTTTGGCATATGCGTTGTAATGTAATTTTTGTTTGTTTTTTGGCTTTTTATGTCCTTTTTTATATGAGCATTGCTCATATAAAACTGGAATATTGTGGTTCGCTTTTTGAAATATTTCCATGTGGTGGATGATGGGATGTGTGGTTGCAGTATCTGTGGATGCTCAAGCCCTATTAGATACAATGCCATAGCATAAAACAGCATTGCTCATATAAAACTGCAGTATCGTGGTTCACTTTCTGAACTATTTCCAAGTTGTGGATGATGGGATCTGTAGTTGCAGTATCTGTGGATGTTCAAGTCCTATTAGATACAATGGCATAGTAAAAAAAAACAGCATTGCTCATATAAAACTGCAATATTGTGGTTCGCGTTTTGAAATATTTCCATGTGGTGGATGATGGGATCTGTGGTTGCAGTATCTGTGGATGCAATATCGTGGTTGCAGTATCTGTGGATGCTCAAGTCCTATTAGTTGCAATAGTATAGCAGAAGAGCCTTCCATTATAACAGTGGTTCCTAACCTTTGGACCGCCGGTGTTTTGGACTCCAACTCCTATCAAGCTTATCAGCTGTTAGGAATTATGGGAGTTGAAGTCCAAAACACCTGGAGGCCCAAAGGTTGGGAACCACTATTATAATGGAAGGCTCTTCTGCTATACCATTGCAACTAATAGCTTTTGGGTATCCATAGATCCTGCAACCACATATCCCATCATCCACTGCATGGAATTATTTCAGAAAGCGAACCACAATATTGCAGTTTTATATGAGCAATGCTTATTTTTTTTGCATCTAATAGGGCTTGAGCATCCACAGATACTGCAACTACAGATCCCATCATCCACAGCATGGAAATATTTCAGAAAGCGAACCACAATATTCCAGTTTTATATGAGCAATGCTGTTTTAGGGCTTGAGCACCCACAGATACTGCAACTACAGATCCCATCATCCACAACTTGGAAATATTTCAGAAAGCGAACCACAATATTCCAGTTTTATATGAGCAATGCTTATTTTTTTGCTATGGCATTGTATCTAATAGGGCTTGAGCATCCACAGATACTGCAACTACAGATCCCATCATCCACAACTTGGAAATATTCCCCAAAAGAAACCATGAGCTTTATATGAGCAATGTTTTGTTTTGTTTTGCTATGGCATTGTATCTAATAGGGCTTGAGCATCCACAGATACTGCAACTACAGATCCCATCATCCACAACTTGGAAATATTTCAGAAAGCAAACCAAAATAAGTCTATAATAGTTTTCTTTTAGGGGAATGTTTCCAAGCCGTGGATGATGGGATCCATGGATGCCCAAGCCCTACGATGCACAATGGCACAGCAAAACAAATGCCAAATGGCAATCACTAGGTTTGCTTTTTTGGGGGACTCCTTCTGAGTCGTGGATGATGGGATGTGTTGTCCTTCTTGTAGGATCGTACGCCTCTTTCCTGAGCGACGAGCCCCGCCGTCCCCGTTTGGAGCAGATCCACGACACCATCCGGGAATACATCGACAAGATCTCCAAAAGCACCTCCGACAACTTGCAGACCATCCGCAACTCGGAGCTGGGCCGGGAGATCAAGTAAGCGAGCCAAGCCGCTCTTTCCACATCCTCCTCCAAAGCACAGGTTGTGCCGACCTCGAAGCTTGGGCCGGTCCTGGCACCGTGACCCAAAGTCACAGTGACCCCAACGATGCATTGGGAGCATTTCACTTGGCTTTCGTGGCCGGAATCACTGGGTTGCTGTGAGTTCTCCAGGTTAACTAGCCAGAAGCATTCTCTCCTGACGTTTCACCCACATCTATGGCAGGCATCCTCAGAGGTTGTGAGGTCTGTTGGAAATTAGGCAAGTGAGGTTTATATATCTGTGGAATAATGTCCATGGTGGGAGAAAGAGCTCTTGTTTGCTGCCATTGGCCACCTTGATTAGCATTGAATGGCCTTGCAGCTTCAAGGTCTGGCTGCTTACTGCCTGTTTATATATCTATTATTATTATTATTATTATCATCTGTGGAATGATGTCCAGGGTGAGAGAAAGAACTCTTGTCAGTTGGAGGCAAGTGCGGACGTTCCTATTGGCCACTTTGATTGGCATTGAATGGCCTTGCAGCTTCAAGGTCTGGCTGCTTACTGCCTGTTTATATATCTATTATTATTATTATTATTATTATTATATCTGTGGAATGATGTCCAGGGTGAGAGAAAGAACTCTTGTCAGTTGGAGGCAAGTGCGGACGTTCCTATTGGCCACTTTGATTGGCATTGAACGGCCTTGCAGCTTCAAGGTCTGGCTTCTCACTGCCTGTTTATATACCTGTGGAATAATGTCCAGGGTGGGACAAGGAACTCTTGTCTGCTAGAGGCAAGTGTGGACGTTGCCATTGGCCACCTTGCTTGGCATTGAACGGCCTTGCAGCTTCAATGTCTGCCTGCTTACTGCCTGTTTATATACCTGTGGAGTAATGTCCAGGGTGGGAAAAAGAATTCTTGTCTGCTGGAGGCAAGTGCGCACGTTGCCATTGGCCACCATGATTGGCACTGAACAGCCTTGAAGCTTCAAAGTCTGGCTGCTTACTGCCTGTTTATATATCTGTGGAATGATGTCCAGGGTGGGAGAAAGAACTCTTGTCTGCTGGAGGCAAGTGCAGACGTTGCCATTGGCCACTTTGATTGGCATTGAATGGCCTTGCAACTTCAATGTCTGGCTTCTTAATGCCATCTGCTGGAGGCAAGTGCGGACATTACCATTGGCCACTTTTATTGGCATTGAATGGCCTTGCAGCTTCAAGGTCTGGCTGCTTACTGCCTGTTTATATACCTGTGGAATAATCTCCAGGGTGGGAGAAGGATCTCTTGTCTGCTGGAGGCAAGTGCAGATGTTGCCACTGGCCATCTTGATTAACATTGAACGGCCTTGCAGCTTCAAGGTCTGGCTGCTTACTGCCTGTTGTTTATATATCTATGGAATAATGTCCAGGGTGGGAGAAATAAACTCTTGTCTGCTGGAGGCAAGTGCAGATGTTGCCATTGGCCACCTTGATTGGCATTGAATGGCCTTGCAGCTTCGAGGTCTGGCTGCTTACTGCCTGTTTCTATATCTGTGGAATAATGTCCAGGGTGGGAGAAAGAACTCTTGTCTTCTGGAGGCAAGTGCAGATGTTGCCATTGGCCATCTTGATTAACATTGAACGGCCTTGCAGCTTCAAGATCTGGCTGCTTACTGCCTGTTGTTTATATATCTATGGAATAATGTCCAGGATGGGAGAAGGAACTCTTGTCTGCTGGAGGCAAGTGTGGATGTTGCCATTGGCCACCTTGATTGGCATTGAATGGCCTTGCAGCTTCAAGGTCTGGCTGCTTACTGCCTGTTTATATATCTGTGGAATAATGTCCAGGGTGAGAGAAAGAAGTCTTGTCTGCTGGAGGCAAGTGTGAATGTTGCAATTGGCCCCCTTGCTTAGCATTGAATGGCCTTGAAGGTTCAAAGCCTGGCTGCTTCCTGCCTGGGGGAATCCTTTGTTGGGAGGTATTAGCAGGCTCTGATTGATTCTTGTCTGGAATTCTCCTGTTGTTTGAGTGTTGCTCTTTGTTTACTGTCCTTGTTTTAGAGGTTTTTTTTAAAAAAATACCGGTTGCCAGATTTTGTTTTGTTCTGTTTTCATGTTTTCCTCCTTGAAACCAAAGTAAACAAAGAGCAGCACTCAAACAACAGGAGAATTCCAGACAGGAAATAATCAGGGCCAGCTAACATCTCCCAACAAAAGATCGGAGATTCCATCTGAACATGAGGAAGAACTTCCTGACTGTGAGAGCCGTTCAGCAGTGGAACTCTCTGCCCTGGGGTGTGGTGGAGGCTCCTTCTTTGGAGGCTTTTAAACAGAGACTGGATGGCCATCTGTCAGGGGTGCTTTGAATGCAATTTTCCTGCTTCTTGGCAGAATGGGGTTGGACTGGATGGCCTGTGAAGTCTCTTCGAACTCTAGGATTCTATTATTCCCCCCTCAGGCAGGAAGCAGCCAGGCTCTAAAGCTGCAAGGCCATTCAATGCTAATCAAGCTGGCCATCTAGCGTTCAGTCTTGCGTTTGCATTTCTAACCGTTCTGCAGTCCTTAAACTGTAAGACTCATATGTGAAACTCAAGGCCTGTGGGCCAAATCTGGCCCCCCATGTGATGTTATGTGGCCCTCCAGATACCCAACTCCGACTCCTATATTTGTCATCATCAAGCATCATAGTGATGGGAGTTGTGATACAAGGATGCAGTCTGTTCTGTTCAATTAAGAGAGTGGGGTTTGGATTTAGATGCAAGGCTCACGGATAGGATGTTTGGTTTTCGAATGCCTTTTAGCCTTTCCACATAGGCTATCAGGTTGCAACTCCCATCATCCCTAGTGTGCATGACCAAAAGTGATGGGAGTTGTAGTTACATAAATAAATCGTGTTGCATAGTGTTATTGTTGTTATCCGGCATGGGCAAACTTGGGCCCTCCAGATGTTTTGGACTCCAACTCCCACAATTCCTAACAGTTGAAGTCCAAAACACCCGGGGGGCTCAAGTTTGCCTATGCCTGGTTGTTGTTGTTGTTGTTGTTGTTTATTTACATGCATATAACAGGAGGGCCCAAGTTTTCCCATGCCTGGTTGTTGTTTTTGTTAAATCTAATGTGCACCTCAATTTTCAAAACACAGAAACCCAAACAAGCATTTATCATATTATGCACATCTAATGCGCACCCTAATTTTGAGAATGCAATTTAGTCGAAAAAGTTGAGCATTAGAATCGAGTAAATACAGGATGATGATGATGATGATGATGATGATGACGATGACGACGACTATTTAATGGAGTGAATCTCACATTCAATGTGTGCACCAATCCAACACAACTTTGACTGTCATCGCTCAATGCTTTAGAATCCTGGGAGTTGTAGTTGTACAAGGTCATTACAGTGTAGAATGAGCACAGTCCAACACAACTTTGACTGTCATAGCTCAATGCTTTGGAATCCTGGGAGTTGTAGTTGCGTTCTCTGCCAAAGTGTGCAGGTGCCTCATCTGGCATAGCATGGCGCCATGGCAGTGTAGAATGAGCGCAGTCCAACACAACTTTGACTGTTATCGCTCAATGCTTTGGAATCCTGGGAGTTGTAGTTTCACAAGGTTTTGTGTTCACTGCCAAAGCGTGCAGGTGCCTCATCTGGCATAGCATGGCGCCATGGCAGTGTAGAATGAGAGCAGTCCAACACAACTTTGACTGTCATAGCTCAATGCTTTGTAATCCTGGGAGTTGTAGTTTTACAAGGTCCTTGTGTACACTGCCAAGGAGATGGCAAGAACCCTGGGAGTTGTAGTTTTACAAGGTCCTTGCGTACACTGCCAAAGTGTGCAGGTGCCTCATCTGCCATAGTATCGCGCAATGGCAGTGTGGAATGAGTGCAGTCCAACACAACTTTGACTGTCATCGCTCAATGCTTTAGAATCCTGGGAGTTGTAGTTTTACAAGATCCTTGTGTACACTGCCAAGGCGATGGCAAGAACCCCGGGAGTTGTAGTTTTAAAAAGTCCTTGCGTACACTGCCAAAGTGTGCAGGTACCTCATCTGCCATAGCATTGCGCCATGGCAGTATAGAATAAGTGCAGTCCAACACAACTTTGACTGTCTGAGGCCTGGAATCCTGGGAGTTGTAGTTTTACAAGGTCTTTGTGTCCACTGCCAAAGTGTGTAGGTGCCTCATCTGCCATAGCATTGCACCACGGCAGTGTAGAATGAGTGCAGTCCAACACAACTTTGACCGTCATAGCTCAATGCTTTGGAATCCTGGGAGTTGTAGTTTCACAAGGTTTTGTGTTCACTGCCAAAGTGTGCAGGTGCCTCATCTGCCATAGCATTATGCCATGGCAGTGTAGAATGAGTTCAGTCCAACACATCTTTGACTCTCATAGCTCAATGCTTTGGAATCCTGGGTGTTGTAGTTTTACAAGGTTTTTGTGTCCACTGCCAAGGAGATGGCAAGAACCCTGGGAGTTGTAGTTTTACAAGGTTCTTGTGTGCACTGCCAAGGAGATGGCAAGAACCCTGGGAGTTGTAGTTTCACAAGGTCCTTGCGTACACTGCCAAGGGGATGGCAAGAACCCTGGGATTTGTAGTTTCACAAGGCCCTTGCGTACACTGCCAAGGAGATGGCAAGAACCCTGGGAGTTGTAGTTTTACAAGGTCTTTGCGTTCTCTGCCAAAGTGTGCAGGTTCCTCATCTGCCATAGCTTTGTGCCAGGACAGTGTAGACTGAGTACAGTCCAACACAACTTTCACTGTCACAGCTCAATGCTTTGGAATCCTGGGAGTTGTAGTTTTACAAGGTCTTTGTGTCCACTGCCAGAGTGTGCAGGTGCCTCATCTGCCATAGCATTGCACCATGTCACTGAAAGTGGTGTTGAAGCGGATTACTTCTACAGTGTAGATGCAGAGAAGACTATGGACTTTGCAAAACTACTACTCCTTCAAACTAGATTTCTTCTACAGTGTAGACGCAGACAGAGAAGGCTATGGACTTTGCAGAACTACTGCTCCTTCAACCTAGATTTCTTCTACAGTGTAGACGCAGACAGAGAAGGCTATGGACTTTGCAAAACTACTACTCCTTCAACCTAGATTTCTTCTACAGTGTAGACGCAGACAGAGAAGGCTATGGACTTTGCAAAACTACTACTCCATAGTGTGGAGCCATGGCAGTTAAGGCAAACTATGCAATGCATGCAGCCGAAATAACACGGCCGATGCGTGACCCCATTGCTCTTCTCTCCCCGCACAGTGCCCGCGTCTCCGACAGCCTGGCGAGTGCCCAGAGCTACCAGGCCGAATTGCAGAAGCAGCTCCCGCCGGTGGCCCAGGACCTCCTGCAGAAGATCATCACCGACCTGAAGCAGGTGAACGAGAAGATGCAGCCCTTTGCCGAGGAGCTGAACCAGAAGATGCAAGGCGGGGTGAGCCAGCTGCAGGAGCGCCTGGCCCCCTTCGCCGAGGACCTCCTGGAGCAAGCGGAGCAGCACACGCAGACCCTGCGCCAGGCGCTGGCCTCCGGCACCGAGGAGCTCAAGGCCAACCTCCAGCGCAACGTGGAGGACCTCCAGGCCCAGCTGGGGCCCCTGGCCGAGGACATGAAGGGCAAGATCCAGCAGCAGGTGGAGGACTTCCGGCAAGGCGTGGAGCCCCTGGCCCAGCGCCTGCAAGGGAGCCTCTCCGAGGGGCTGCACCACGTCCGGCACAACCTCCACCCCTACGCCGAGGACCTCCACCAGAAGCTGGTCCCGCTGGCCGAGAACCTCCAAGGGCAGCTCAGCGGCCTCTGGAACGCCTTCCGGGAGAGGTTCCAGTGAGCCTCCGGTCAGGCCCGTGGTGGCCCTCAAAGTTTTCCATCTGGGGGGATTGATTTGGGGTAGGAACTAGACTTCCCAAGCCATGCCAATAAAACCACATGCAATGACCCACTCTTGTTGTTGTGCCCTTCTTTGG